GAACCAAAGATGCCCCTGGGCCTAGTTCTTGATTCATTCCATGTCCCATATAGCTTCTTTTGAAAAACTGAACAAGATGAGAAATAGGGATCTTGGCTAAACCTCCCAGTGAGTTGGAATATATCTCACGGAACTTCTTTCCCAAGCCTGATGAAGTTCTGCTCTGCCATATGGGCATTTACAGTTGCTAAATGATAATTTTCCAAAAATAAGCTTCAATTCTCCAAAATGGCAAATAGAAAGCAGCTGGTGTTAGCCAACAGGGAGAAGCCCTCCTAGAGCTCACCACGGAGAGAAGAGCATCATATTTGCAGACACTGGAGCAAATCTGCTAAGAATCAGCCAGTACTGTGTGATACAAGAATCTCCAGATGGGATTCATTCTGATTGGTGGCCTTCTCCTGACCATTGCTGTTACAGAGTTTCCAAGAGTACTGAATGCACACAACGCAAAATATATTAGCCAGAGGATACTCTGGCAATTCTCTAAATAAGCAACTGCTATTCTCATCCATTCACATAGTAAGTGGATAACAAGGGGGAAAAAAGAAACCTTTCTCCACTGAAGCTATCACCTTTATAATTGTTCTTGAGTCCCCCTATCTGTTCCATCATCTTCCAGAAATAGCCCTCTATTTCCATTGGGGTGCCCATTTTTAGCACAGAATCTCATTAGGGCTCCACATCCATTGACAACACATCCATGGAGGACATGAGAAGATCTAAGCATATCAGGCCATCATAATCCTCTGCCTTCAATGAGATGGACACATAGCTCAAAAAAATCCAGTCACAGTGAATTCCCTGGTTTCTCCTGTCTCCACCAGACAAAATGCTAGTTCTTTCCCATTCTATGGAAACTAAGTGAATGTAAGAAGCCCTTGTAGCCATTTGTCACTCCAAAGAAAGAAGTGAGATTTTCCAGAAGTTTCCAGAGGGAGCATGAATATACAGTCAACATAGTGAAAGACTGGACAAAGAATGGATAGGAACCAAGTCCTTTATGACATCATTTGAGAGTTGAATTTCTTTGCCAGAAACTAGCACTACCCTCCAGACTGGACTTTTCTTTTTTTCTTAAACTACTGATGATAGGTTCTCTGCCAAAATTATCCACTAAAATCCAATCTTCTGCAAAAGCATCACAGTTCTGGGCTCATAGGATCCTTCCACCTCAACCTCTCGAGTAGCTGGGACTACTGGCCGCACCACCATGTCCAACTAATTTTTTTATTTTTTATTGTTTTGTAGAGACAAGGCCTCACTATGTTGCCCAGGATGGTCTCAAACTCCTGGGCTCAAGCAATCCTTCCCACCTGGGCCTTTCAAAGTGCTGGAATTAGAGTCGTGACCCACCATACCCAGCACTATCATTCATCAAATTCCTATTATAGGTTTAACAAAAAATGCTTTGCTTATATGCATTATATTATTTAGTCCTCACAACAACCAGTCATAGTAGC